AGTTCGGAGCGAAAAAGAGGGTCTACCAAGCCTGAAATTTGCTCCAAAGGTAGCCCGGATCTTACGGGAGGCCCGGACGCCGCCCACGCAGCATTACCGTACTGCAAGGCCAGAGCACGCATAGCACACACAGTCATGAGGGCAGGGTCCTGCAACGACTCTGCATCTTTACCCTGCATGCATCTCGTACTCGCCCGAGCCTACCGTAAGATCCGGGCCACTTGGGGGGGGGGGGGGGATTTGTGGGCTTCGAAGACCCCCTCTCGCGCTGAAAACTTCTGTCGTCGCTTAGTTAGGGGTCTACATTATTACCAGAGCCAGGACCCCCTCCCCCAATCTGGTCGGACGCTGCCTTTAATCAGACAACTTCCTGCAGTCATCCTCTTTACAAACAAAACTTTGTGTTAAATGTGCATACACATATGTATACTTCCAACTATCGTCCTGCCACTCCCTCCACTCCCCCCCCCCTCACCACCCACGCTTTTCTAATACCATCTGCTCATGTTTTGGATGCATTGCAAGTGCACATCGCTCCCTACCGCTCCCATTGTCTGTCAACATTTTCCGTTCCATTACGCGTGCGAGGCAATTCAAAAATGTCCCTCTAATGAACAAAAGGCTTGTTCACAGCGAAGAGGAAATGACACCTGATGTGGTGCGCAGTAGGAGCTAAAACTACGACTGATTAAAGAAAGAGTTATGCATTCTGAAACTGTGGTAAACTTTTTTTGGAGTTACGTTACTTTTCGCCACCCGGAGAGCTCCCTGAGGTGGCCCAGAGAAAAAGTCGTAAATTTCACAAAACTTTTTCACACTTTTATTGGGTTGTAAACTAAATTTTGCAACTACTTTAAGAACCCACTTCTTTTCAACAGGGCGCACTCAAATTTTGTCACTATGTGGATTATGGCGTAAGCTACAAGGGTAGCTGCCTGCCAAATTCTGATATCGCAGTCAGGCTAACGGTAGGTATATGGTACGAGTAATCATAAAAATTTGCGGATTTGGCTGAGAATTGATATAGGGGGCTTATTCGACATGCTGATCAGAAAAACGATTTTAAAATTGCAATTAAGGCTTTTTGTAAGATTGTCGTAGATTTACCGCTTAAGGTCTCACCATGATCAAGAAAAAAGACACTGATTTCATAAATGATTCTGACATTCGTGTATGTCAGGTCATATAACCTCAATATCGAAGTCTCGGCAAAATTTGAGGTTCCGTCTCTGTAGTCATTGACGGTTGTTTTCAGCAACTTTGCGTACAGCGCTTGATCAAATTTGTTAGGGTGTCAAATCTTGATTTACCTTCAAATTTCATTTTCTTTTATTAAGCTAATTAACTCAACCCTTGGCAGTGATTCACACAATTTCAGATTATTGTGCGTAATCTGGGTAAAAGGCTTCATTTTGGCTTGCAACACCAAAAATTCTCGAAATTCACTAGTTTTCGAAAAACGCCTCGAATTTTTCTAACTCCTGTTCAAAATTCAAAAAGTTTCTGCGCATGTCGTAGAAAGCATTACATTCTACATACTGCCAAAGTTTGAGTGCGCAATATCCAATGAAAGTAAAGTTATGAGGAGAGTTGCAAAACTTAGTTTCCCACTCAATAATATATTAGGTTGTCCCAAAAGTTCTTGCGTCGGATTTTCAAAAAATCATAACTTCCTTTCTTCTCAACGATTTCTCTCGAAATTATTTTTGTATGAAAGGGGAAACCTTTTTCTTTATCGCTTTGCCTTTGCCATGAATTAGCATTGGTAAGTTCGAGAGTTAAAAGCAATTGAAGGAAATTAGTCAAGATCGACATTTTTCAAGCTGGAACACGAAAAATTCTACAAGTATTTTTATTTGATAGAGAAAATTTTGCACATTACAGTGGTGCTTTTTTCTTGAATTAAAACGAAGTAGATCGAGAGTTAGAATCAAATAAAGAGAATTTCTTCAGTTTTGCAATTTTTGAGCATGATCAAAAAAGCTTGAAAACATCACAGAATAGGCGAAAAAAATCATAAACATGGGTTTTGTGACCATCCCTTTCTAGCTGAGCGAAAATCGTGCCAATCGGGAGCAATTTTCATTTTCGTGAAAAACGCAGACCCGAAAATCCGAATAAATCACGAAAATCAAAATTGCTCCCGATTGGCACGATTTTCGCTCAGCTAGAAAGGGATGGTCACAAAACCCATGTTTATGATTTTTTCGTCTATTCTGTGATGTTTTCAAGCTTTTTTGATCATGTTCAAAAATTGCAAAACTGAAGAAATTCTCTTTATTTGATTCTAACTCTCGATCTACTTCGTTTTGATTCATGAAAAAAGTACCACTGTAATGTGCAAAATTTTCTCTATCAAATAAAAATACTTGCAGAATTTCTCGTGACCCAGCTTGAAAAATGCCGATCTTGACTGATTTCCTTCAATTGCCCACAGCTCTCGAACTTTTCAATACTAATTCATGTCAAAGGCACTATTGTAAAGAGAAAGGTTTCCTCTTTGAAAAATCAATTTTAAGAAAATCCATTGAGTGGCAAGGAAGTTATGATTTTTTGAAAATTCGGCGCAAGAACTTTTGGGACAACCTAATATTAGGTTGGCACATAAGTAATGCAACCTTTTATAACCTTTGTCTTTCCAAACGTAACTTCATTTGTTGGCAATATAAGGATTATGATGTAAACTGCAAATGCCAACCAAATTTTGCCATCTTATGTAAGGGGTATCCTAGGTTTGTATGATGGGAAGAATTTTAAACTGCGTCAGATTTTGCTGAAACTTGACGGGGGTTATTCGACATGCTGATTACAAAAATGAGATCCGTTTCGCATGCCCTCTCGGTAAGGTCAAAAGATGAGTTTCATCTTAGCGGCAAATGACTATGATATTCATGTTTACCGTACTGAATTAGCCTATTGTACAAATTTTTAGCGAATTCTGAGGTTTCACAGCTCACAAGGGAAGCGTGTTTAGTCGAAGAGACCTTTCCACATGCCACCTATATATTAGGTTGGCACAACTTTTCCCGTAACTTTTTTTCGTTTTATGTAGCAATCTCATTTTGTGGCATCATGTAGATCGTGATGTAGGCTGCAAGTCTGCGCAAGCCGTTTGATTTTTGATAACGTAGTACAAAAAATCTAAGCATTTTTTGAAAACTGCTGAAAATCGAGGTTTCACGATTTTCTAGCAAACATGAAGCCCTACAAAACCTGATTCAAACATATGAAAAAGCAATTATAGGCAGCATGTAGCTGGAAGTTGGCACATTGACATCAGTGAAAAGGAAATGAAATTTAAACACAAATCGAGGTGGGGCACCTTTGAGAATTTGAACTAGTCAAATGAGTCAAGTTTTGAAGGCAATTTGTCAATAACTAAGCTGCGAAAAGTCAGAATTCGCTATAACTTTGCACTATAGGGTAATCCTATGCGGTAAACACGAATATCATTTTCATTTGTCGCTAAAATGAATTCATCTTTTGATCTCACGTACGACGCCTTTTCATGCAAAACGGATCTCATTTTTGTGATCAGCATGTCAAATAAGCCCTAAAGGCCAAGTTTCAGCAAAATCTAATGCATTCTAAAATTTTTCCCATAGTACCGTAAACCTACCGTAATCCTCGCATAAGATGGTAAAATTCGGCAAAAATATGTGCATTACAAGCTTACATCATAATCCTTATATTGCCAAGAAATGAATGCGCTATGTTCAAATAGACAAAAGTTATATAAAAAGTTGCATTACTTATGTGCCAACCTAATACTTTGTAGAGCACTGAACGATGACTCTAAATCCGTCTTTCTTATCTCCAAAGCGCCTCTGGAAGCCGCCTCTGGAAAACGCTCAAATGGTCAGATAATAAGTATCAAAGTGCTTTCAAATAATACCTTCTAATTAATAGCCTACCTAACAATCAGTGCTGCTCTAGTTGGCAGCAGAAGAAATTGCCATTATTCTTTTTGCATACATTCTGCGTTAATATTTTTTGCTCCAAGACTACGTTATCATAAATTAAACGGTTTGCGAAGACTTGCAGCTAAAGTCACACTCTCCCGATGATGCCAAAGAATGAGAGTGCTACATTAAGTAAGGAAAAAGTTATAGGAAAAGTTGCAAAACTTATGTGCCAACCTAATACCTTTGATATAAAGCTGAAAAGAAAACCTGTAAGCTAGTTTAATTATCCCTAAACACATCCTATCCACTCACTTACTGCCCTCCAAAAATTTTGAAGTTTCATCTGTTGAATGTTTTTTCTGTACCACCTAATCTTTTTTGTTGTCTCTGTCCAAATCATTCATAAACCATAGATGATGTCGTATTTTTGTTGCGAAGTCAACAGGGACTTGCCCAAAAATTTTTAGAACCACCGCGTGCCAAGCCCTGCTTCAAAGTCAGTGTGCAATGAACTTGGTAGGAAAAACAGCCATACAATAGAAAATGCAAAAATCATGTAGTTAACGACATGGAATCAAACAGTTAATTCTACGATTTACGAGTGTTGAGTACTCTTGTGTTTATTTCAATAACACAATGCCCCTCACATTAGTTCTTTACCAATTACAAGCGATCTGTGACAGGTTACATATTTGAGTTAAAGTTACAAGCAGAATTTGGAGAAATTTTTTTGGTATACAGATATTGCCCTAGTAAGTGTTTATCATTCATCAGTTTACTTCGCGAAACTTATCTGCATTAGGATTTTGATTAACATTTGACATGGTCATAAGCTTGTGTACTTCCACGACCTTGGGAATTGTTAATTTGTGACGATATCAGTTTTTTCTGCTTTTTTTAGTTTGGTAAAGAGTTTGACTAACAAGTTCAGGTATCGAAGTAAAAGTCCCGCATGACAGTTAACCCAGAAGTTTATGCCTGTCTTAGCAACAATGCTAAAAAAACAAAGGTATACATCCATTTAGGCACACTCGATCAAATGCTATTTCGTATCTTCAGAGTGTCTCAAACTGAACAGCCTCATCCGGATCAATTTCAAGTCCACATTCTTCTAAGTTCGTCGAAGTAAGCAGCTCCGTTGGCTTGATTACCATCGTTCAGGCGCGGGCTCTCCTTTTTCTTGATAAAGATGCCAGCCAACTTTGGCTGCAGAAGAATGAGCAGAGTAGGTGTGAGAAGCACACTCAAAGCCAACGACTAAATAATTTCTTTTTCTGAGATAGAATACAATATTCAATGTCTGAACTTACCAAATTGTATGTGTGAGCAAACAACCGCATAGTAAATGCGCCCAGTTTAAACCCTATGTAAAATACGTAAATCCGAAACCCGAACTGACAGAGTCTTGTGATGAACAATAGGATATAAACGGGTGAAATCAGTTGCACAACACACATGTTCTCTCGACATTGATAGCTTTGCGAGAGCGTGTGATTCGGTCCGTTCAGATGATGTCGTGATAAGCGCTGAGTTATGCGAAGCAGCTGGAGTTGCATAAATACTTGGCTGAGGGAAAGGAGGGGGAGGGGGGGGGGGGAGGAGTCTCACCACAAAACCAACAGCATTCGTGGTGCAAGTTACACAGCCAATGTTTTTGAGCGTAGTTGTAGGTGTTTCTTGATAAACATCGCCGTTAGCAACAAATAGAAAATAAGAGGAGCCGTACAGGATGATCGTCTGGAGCAATTATGACAGGCGCTTTGTCTAACCCTAAATAAATTACTCACCAAAAAAGCACCAAGCACAATGCTGTGATAATTGCTATTGAACATATATTCATAGTGTTTGACGAATACCGAAGCAAAGAGGCGTTCAACTGAGATCAAGAAAGCTGAGATGTCCAATTGTAGAATAAAGATGAGCTGCCCAGTCCGAGTAAAATTGTCCACCACCCAAATCCATGAGGACTCGTATGTGCGACCTGTGGGTTTTGCTTTTTTATCTGACAAACATTTTTGACTGAGAAGGCAAGATAACCAACCCAAAAATAAACGTACAGGCACCATGTATATGCGAAAAATCGCATTCAAGAACATGCCAAGACACATCATATTCATGAGAATTCTAAACTAATTTGTAGACGAGATTTATGGAAGTTTCACGGAATGATTTTTTTATAGAATGAGATCGATGTTTGCAGCCAACGTCGGGATTGATAAAAACTTTATTGACCAGCATTTCGGCTTCCCTTCGTCGGAGCCAAACGAGGTGTCGAAGTAACTCACACGGTCAAATGTCTTTACGGCCTTATGAAGGAATGTCTAAGCCTTAACTTTTGGCCAGTAGCTTTGGAACACTCACAGAACAAAACAGTTCCTGCCTACCTGCTCTGTGCTATATTTGCTGATTAAGGCCCGTATGCACTAACATTCTTGCGGCGAGGGGAGCGGTGTTTCCAAAGATGAAAAAGCTACAGCGCGTCCGCGTGCGGCCGCTTTATAATCGGGGATGTCGCTCGCCTCGCCGCTGAGATGTTAGTGCATACTGGCCTTAGGCTTGAGATATACCTGACGATGGAGGTATAGCGGGTGTTGGCGAATCGCTGATGTCTGCGCTGCCCTTAGCTGCTCGTGGCTGCTGCGCTGGGTATGCTGTGGGTGCAAGAACGAAGTAGCTTTACCCATTACTGTGCTTAGCTTAGGTTATTAAGGAAAGTAAGTCTTGACGATTACCAAAATTGAGAAATAATATGAGACCCAAAAAAATCGTACTGTTTTCATCAAGAAATTTTCTTTATAACAAGTATAAAATGGCGTGCCAAATGTTGCATAAACTGAGAAAATTATAATCATTTGACAGATATCAAGCGAGTGTCACTGAACCTTGTGTGCTTGAGGCAACATCTAAACTATCTAGGTCATAGCAGACGTTAATTTGTTGAGGTGTACTAGTAATATCCCACTGAATCGTTTGAATCCTCTAGCTTTTCATCGTTACTCTAACTTGACTACGCAGTTGATCAGATTATTCTTTGTCGACTTTGTCAATTCTTTATCGATTTTCTTATCGATGCATTTGCGTTTCGGTGAAAATTTGTCATAGTTCATCAGTATCGAAACTGCTCTGAAAATCCCTCAGAAGTTCAGAAATATGTATGTTAAAAAGGAGCAAATCCGAGCAAAATCAGCGTTAGCAGCTCGAAGCAGCTGAGAGAAGCTCACAAAAAGTGAGCTTCATATCGCGTAGCAGCGAGGAGCAGCAACGAGCAGCTGGGAGCAGCAGAGAGCAGCAAGAAGCAGCACAGCATCGCTAGCTACAGCGGGTCTGTTTCGCGTTGGCTGCAGCAGTTAGGAGCAGCAGCGTCGCCTGGCGTCAATCGATACGCACAAAAGACGTTGCTACTTGCAGCTTCTTATCGTCAGCTATAGCCACCCATCGTCAGGTATATCTCAAGCCTAAAACACATAAGCGCCAATCTGATAAGGAGATAGCCTCAAACAATTCCTCCACATTCAAAACACGCCCCATAATAGGCGGTGTAGGGTGGGGGGGGGCTACGGATGGAGTAGTGTGGTTCATCATTACATACTCGTTTAACTGCTCAAATTCATCTCATCGCAATTAGCCAATCGCAAATGTTTTTGAATCGTCTACGCAAACAAGTATCAATAGTACATGTATCATGGAATCATTCGATATCAGTGCTCTCTGTAGAAACGTGAGCAACGAATGTGCTATGCGAGCAATCCGCGAACTGCTGATATGCCATGCTCTTAATCTTCATGGGCTTTCCATATCACAAATCACGGCCCTGATGAACAGAGCAGTAACATTATTCTATGTCTGGGAGCTACTTTATGCAAATACGAGGACTAGCAAGAAGGCAGCGCTTAGCACCGGCACTCGCGATGGCATTCATGACTACAATGAAGCTCCTGTTCTAGAACAACGTCCTTTACTCTACCGTAACTATATTGATGATTGCTCCGTAATTTGCGCGACACTGGAGCTTGACTAATGTTTTGAATTACTCAATAAGCAATCGGAAAACATAGAACTGACTAGAGAGAAGCCGGAAAACGTCTGGTTACTATTTCTAGACGTTTAAGTGAATATCACCACGGGTATGCACGAAATGGTAGTACCGTAAACCAAGCAACAAAAATTTCTTTGTTTATTTTCAATCAGCTCACTTACCTTGGACAAAAAGCGCCTTTATCAAGATTATGTTCCAGCAGCTTCTCAGATCTGTTGTGAAAGAAAAGAATCACTTGAGCTTATGCGTCGTCGACGCGCGTCCCTTCTTTGAATGGGTTCGGGGAACTTCGCAAATACAGCGAAGCACGGAAAATGTCGGGGAGACTAACCCGACAACGAAAAGATTCCTTTCTACTGTTCAGTTCCATCAAAATAAGTACAGCAATACGCCGGAGTCTTGAGAAGGTCGAACTAAATGACTTGGTCTCGATAGAGAACTGCCACCGAACAACCTGAATCTCATTTTAGTAAGAAATCGCATATATAACAGCAGCTGTACTACGGAAAATCGTTTCATATGTCTCGGAGATAAGAGCGGAGATTGTATGTCAACTGGGATAATCTACTTCATTTTCTGCACCGTCTGCGGAGACGAGTATGTAGATGAAACTGCACGTTCCTGTGTATTCGTGCAAAAGAGTACCTAGATGGCAATGATAAACAGCGAACTTCCACTCCATCAAGAAGACATGGAGTACTAAAGCATGAAGGATCGAGTTTTTAAATGACCGTAAAATAGCACGTGAGAAGGTTAAGACGGCTTCTCGCAAGTTTCTAGAGACACTATGGATTTATGCTAAGAACGCACAAATCGAACAAAAAGAGGAATGCCTCGCAACCACGCAACTATCTCATTATCTGAGCCAACTGTATTGATCTTCCATTCAGTATTTCCATATACGGTCAGTCTAGCGATCGTCCTATCAAGGAATCGTCTGTGTGGTAAGTGACTGTTGCAAAGCTACTGGCCAATAGTTAAGGCTTAGACATTTCTTCGTAAGTCCGTAAAGACATTTGCTCATGATGGTTACGAGTCGACATCCCACTCAGGTTCTTGCGAAGGCGAGAAGTCGAACGTGTTGACCAATAATGTTTATTTCAATCCCGGCGTTAGGTACAAAATATCGATCCCAGTTTATGGACTATACGGAGATTTATCGAGAGTGGTACATGCTAATTTTTGTACTTGCAAGAAATCTTTCCTGGGGTTTTATTAATGGCTTCTTGCTTCACACTCTGCGAAATTATGTCTCGTTTTGGGAATAAACAATGAGTCAGAGGGTTGAATTTTCGGTTACAGGCCCCGGACAGACTTCACGCGACTTAATCGTCGCGATCTAATCGCCAAGATTTCCATTCATTTTCATTTCACATTCAAAAATTTCGGGCTGGAAAAGTACCACAACCGAATGCAAGTTGATCGGCATGGAATGATGTTGTAACAGTTGTCTCGTCGCGATTCAGTCGCGACGATCAAATGGCGTGAAGTCTGCCCGGGGCCATAGAAGGAAAAATGAAAAAATACCTTAACATATTATGAAAGCGCCGATTCAGTCTTGATATAGTCAAGTAAGTTGCCATCACAATGACTGATGTGATCAGCAGAATCAACTCTATAGAGTAAGCAACTCCATTGCATAACATCATATCAAGACCGATATTTTTAGTGTAGCGAATCATCTCGTTCGTATCGTTGTATTCATACTGTAATGCACTTTATATCAAGCAACGAGTTAAGAAATGAGCAGACTTTGTAAATTCCGGCTATCTTGAACAACACTAACCATAACGAAAATTTCTAGCTTCGCTTTTGTCTATATAATTCTTCAGCACTGGACTTTCGGACAGGATATCTGTAATCAAGTCATTCTTTGCCATTGCTAGTAAAAGCTAGAGAAGGTATATTATGATTATTTATCCAAAATGACTGTATATAGAAAGCAACGACGAAAGTACATAGTGAAAATGCATCTGACACGGAAACAAGACTGTAGAATGACTACGACACCCGGCAGCGTTCAGTCTCTAAACTGCTATTACGACTGATTACTCGCCTGATTAATCTTTATTAGTATGCTGCGCTGCAATTTAGCACGATGAAGCAGTTAATATATACATTGTGCAAGGAGATGTGAAAAACAAGAATAATGTACAGTACACAGAAAGTTTGATAAGTGAAGTTTGCCTATTATTGGAAAAACGAAACACGCACTTGTTCTCGAGAAAAAGAAAAAAATGACATAATGAAAACGTTTGGAACAGAATAAACTATGTATCGTTCATTCGTTGACCGTACGGACTGCCGACCGCGTGGCGACTGCGACGCGTGCCTTCTAAACTTGCGAAAAAGTGACAAGTTGGACCGTGGCTTAAGATGAGAAGAATTCTTTGTTTCTTTTCTACATTATAAAGATGAAAAGAATCCTCTGCTTTCTTTCTATTCATCTTTTCTACGAAAACATCATGCACGCGCAGCGGTCGCCGCGCGGTCAGCAGTCGTTACGGTCAACGAATAAACGATAACTGATATCTCGTAATTGGAAAGTTATGGGTCATTTAGAGTATAAATGCAACTTTCACCATTCGATTCGACCAGACGCTCCAACTTTGTTATATCTTTGTGTTGAAACATATTATTCTCATTCAACTCAAACGACTGTAAGGTCATCCACATGTATAATAACTTTTATGAGATTAAAAATGCGAAGTCAATTACTTCGAGGATTACGAACTCAGTGTGTTTGCGTCGTAAAAGGTCATTTCAAAGACTATCAATAATTCGCTGTTAACAGCG